CCCCCCCCCCCCAAGGTTGGGTTTGTTGCCTCCTCTGAGTTTTCACCATCCCTTGGCTTCCCTCTGATCTTGCATATGGTGATTACCTATGTATCCCTTCTACGGTGGGGGCTGGTGGGGGCTGGTGGTGGTGGTGGTGATGATATCTCTCCAGTATTCAGTCACCCAGCACAGGGCGTAGCATGCAGGAGTTATCAGTGGTAATGGGAGAAGGATATTTACAATGGAACTCCCTGAGCCCAGTGCAGGGCTGGGAAACAGTTTAGGATTCAGGGCCAGACAGATCCCAGTTCAAATTCTGACTCTGTTCCTCATAATTTATGTGTTCCCCAAAAAGTCACAACCCCTCTCCAGGCCTGTTTCCTTAGCAGTAAATGGGGGACAATGAATCCTAGCCTTCACAGTTGCTATGAGGATAAAATGAGGAATGGTTAAGAGGGCTAACCCAGCAGGGGCTAAGTAAATGGGAATCCAAACCAGAAACCAACACTCCCTGCTTTCAAGACCTACACTGATGGTTTTTTTTTTTTTTTTTTAAATCCAACATAACCAACCAAATAGTACATGCCAGGCATTGTGTAAAGATCAGGGGATGGGATATCCAGCTAGTCCCTGGGGTTTCCAGCTTTACCTCCTGCTAATTCCCCTTGGGTTTTACATGCTAACAAAAGTGAACTGCTAGCAAGTCCCCAAATACATCATTCTGTGTTACACCTCTATGCTCTTTACACAGTGTTGCCTTGAAATGGCAGACGAAGAATCTTCCTTGTTCATCAAAGTGAACTACTTGTGTTCTGAAACTGTGTTCATTCGTTACCTCTCTGTGAAACTTGCTCTGATAAACCCCCTCTTTACACTGCACTATCCCAGAAACTTATTTATAACTGTTACAGCACTTAAACACCAGGCTATAATTATTTATTTGCAAATCTAACCCCTTGAAGGCAAGGACACTGGGCCGGGCGTGTGTGAGTACAGGAAGGGAGTATAGAAGGATGGGACAACGTCCTTGCCTTGGAGGAGCTCCCAGTTTAGTGAAACAGTCATGCTCATTGTGATAGATTAAATGCAGCCATAATTCTTTGCAGCTCCTTCTGTCAAGAGGACAGAATCCTCATCCCTCGATTATGGGGTAGCTTTGGGACTTGCTTTGTCAAGTGATGTGTGAGTTCCAGATTCTAGGCCTCAAGAGGCTTTGCACTTTTGGCCTTCGTCCCCTTGGTGTGACACTGCCCTGAGGCTGCCAAGTAAGGAAGCCGGTCTAACCTATCAGAGGCCACATGGAAGAGAACCAAGGCACCCTGATCTCCCAGAATGTGAGGCTTTCCAGCCTAGTCAGTCATCTAGCTGAATGAGCTGCATAAATGAGGAAAGGCCCAGTCAACTGAAAAAATCATGAGAAATAACAAATTGTGTTAAGCCACTAAGTTTTGGGATGGCTGGTTATATGTCAGTAAATAATGGAAACATAGATAAACAGGTGATCACAATATAGGATGATAAGAGTAATCATAGGGACATATAGGGTTTGTGAGAAGAGATAGCTAATCCAGAAAGGCTTCCTGGAGATGGTATTTGGGCAGGTTGTTGAAATATAAATAGAAATGTGATGGGATGGGGTAAAATAGTCCCATTAAAAGAAAACAGCATCCCATTAAAAGAAAGGAATGGCACAGTCAGGGAGTAGTGAGCATTAATTCTGTGAGGATAGCTCATAGGATTCCTGGAGGGCAGTATTAGGAATGGAAGTATTAGCAATGGAAATACGGGTTGAACCTAAATCACAGAAGACCTTGGTGCCATGTCTTAGCAGGCTTTGCCTGTGCCTGACGGTAGTTCTTAGCTCAGCAGGTGCTGAGGCTGAATGCTGTGACTGAAGTAGAGAGGGTGGCAGGATGCACCCTAAGGGCAGGGCTCTGTCCATCCCTTTGGAGTGGAACTTTCTGTTACAGAGCCTTGTCTCCCTATCAGACCAGAATTCCCTGAGGTTGGGTCATTTCTCCACCTATGTTAGGGTTGTCTGGGTAATAGCAGTGTTTTTCAGGGGCCAGACTGGGCTGCCTGTCTTGAACCAGGGTTTATGAGAGGGGGATCCCTCCCTGGGGCTCACACTTAGGGCTATGCAGTTTGAGTCCCAGTACCGAAGCACCCAGCAGAGGAGGTGCCAGTGGAGGCCGGTGTCCACTCCCTTCTCTAAGCTCGCACCCTGATGCTGGGCTGTGTCAGTTGGGAGGAAAGGGGGCCCAAGGGGAACATCTCTAATTCCAACAAAGAGTTCCTGTATGCCGGGGCAGTGACCCAGGCTCTCCAACCAGAATTGTAGGTCCCTGCTGCCTGTCTTTCCATATCAGATCAGGGCTTCTGAGTCAGGGCTGTTTTCTCCTTTCGTACTGGGCTCCCCAAGAAGCCCTTTTGCCATTGAGACCAATGTTTCTTAGAGCAGGGCCCTGTCTTTTCCATCTGACTGGGGCTCCCAAGGGCAGGGCTCTGTCTCTCCTCAGACAGAAGTTTCTGGGGGAGTTCTTTCTCTTTCTACCATAAAGGAGACCCATTTAGAGCTAGGATGTTACCCTTAGGCCCCCCTCTTGCTGTGATCTTTTAGGACTGTGTGATTACAACTTTCCTGTTTGCTCAAGGCACTCAGGCAGTGTCTTCTTGTCTCATTCTGGGTCTGATATGAAGGTTTGGCAGGATTGAATAGTTATTTGCTCAAGGGATCCTGGTTTGGAAGTCTGAAGTCTTCAGGGGATTTGGGGCTATGCCTCTGGGTCCCTCATGAAACCAAACCACATGGGATACCTCTTGATGGCTTCAGAAGTGCTTACAGCCCACCAGAACCCAGGTGACCTTGCATTGCTCCTTAAAACCTATCTGTTTAAGGCCCATTCCCTGACACGTGTGCCTTCTGGTTTCAGTTAGGGGCACTAGACACAGAGGGAACCAAATACAGTTCTGGCTTCTCTTCTCACCTCCCAAGGAGGGGAGGAATCAGCACCAGCATGCCCCTCTAAGCTTTCACCACGGGAGCTTCCATCTCATGCTCATGCAGTCCTTCCTCACCTGGTATCTGTCTGAATGGTGCAGGTCATCAGTGGCAGAGGAGTGTGGTGATGCTGTTGGAGACTCTCCTTCCCTCTTGATGGAAGCAGACAATAGGAGGGACTGGAAGAAGAAAAAGGACATGTCGCCTCAGGCCAAATGAGACCTCCAGTCGGTCAGTCCCCTAGGGTTCCCAGTCCAACAGAGCTTTTGGGAGAGGGCCATGGAGGGAGGCAGAGGGATAGAGGAACCACTCTTGAGATCTGGAAGGCAGGCTTTGAGGCCCTGAGGGTGTGGTTGTGAGAGAGGATGGCTTGATTTCAGGGATGGGTAGAGACCTCTGAGAGGGTCCAAACCTTGTGGACCCCAGGTAATCTCTGTCCCAGTGGGGTAGGACTCTCTGCCCACTCCCAGTTGGATGAGATAATACATGCTTTGTTCTCCCTTCACAAGCAGAGACTCTGGGACTGTTCTGAAGGATTGGGGGTAAAGCCGCATACCTGCTGCCCTGCCTGCCCCTAATACAGGCTGAAGGCAGCCCTGCTATGGAGACAGTAAATTAAATAGTATGTATGAGTTTCCTGCATGCAGCTAGGGATGTACGCTGGGTCCATTTATCCCTGCGCTGCGGCAATGACCCCAGCGAGAACCCTAGGAGAACTAACCCCCCCACGTCAGTCCCGCATGGCCTCTCCTACGTGCGCCTGCAGTGTAGATTAATAAACTGTCCGCTTTACATTGTGTGTGAGCGCCACAATCCTAAATACCACATGGCACGTTCAGCCTGCTCTTGCTGGCTCTTGCCAAGGCCTGTTCAGCTGCAACCTGGGGGCCTGGAGACCTGAAAGCAATCCCTACTTCCTTCTCCCACCCTTTCCAGTTTGCACAGCTCTGAGCCGGAAGCATACAAGCCCCTAGGAGGCCTCCCCAGCCGAGAAACCATGCCAAATCGCCAGTGACAGCCCAAAGAAAGCAATTTGGGAAAGATGGAGCAGCCATTTATCCTTCATCTCCGACCGAGCCTTAGGATGTGACCCGCATGCGGTGGCCATGCTGCACATCCTCAGGCAAGGGCCCTGGGAAGGGAGGGGCAGCTGCTGGTCTGGCAGGGCTCCCTGACTCAGCCTGCCCCCCCAGAGCTGGTGGAGGAAAGAGGCTGGGAAGGGCCTGCAACTCGGAGCCCTTTTTTCACCCAGCCAGGCCCAGGGGGAGGCCTAGTGGGTGACTAAGCCCCCACTCCAGATTGAGGTGGTCTTTCAAGCAATGTCCTTTGCCTTCTCTGGTCCCAGGGAAGATGCTGAGGAGGGGAAACAAAGTGGGGTCCCTGCCCCCCACCATGAGAAAGCTTGCTCTTGTATGCTTGCTTTCTGTCTCTCTCTCTGTCTCTCTCTCTCATTCTCTCTGGGTTAGAAGCCCTGAGAGGCCCCAGCATTACACCTGGGGCAAGCAGAATAAAAAAAGGTCACTGGCGCTTTTTAAACATGGACCAAAAAGCAGTAAAATGTGTTTTGAAAAAAAAAATCCCGGCACTAAATCATGACTTTTTGCCTGGCTCTTCGCCTCATTAAAAGTGGCCTTTTGGAAGGTAAAATTATCATTGTAAGCGATAAGATCTTTAAGAAAATAATTCACGGCTTCTTCACCCTTTAATATGATAGCCGCCACCGGCTAATTTTTTTCTTAATGGCAATGAGGCCATCAATCTTGTCTAAGGCCCCCTCGCCCTCTCCTCTCCCTCCCTCCCTCCTTCTCCCTGTCCTCTCAGTTTCTTGCTTGAACCTTCTACCTCATGCCTCTTCCACCCGTGACCTGCTCCCCTAAAGCCTCAGCCACAGGCAGGGGATGGTCAGCTTTGGGGGCATAAGTGTCAATCTGGAATTGGGCGAGCAGGGGTCCTTGCCTAATTATCAATATGCCTGTGTCGGCAGTTGGAGGATCTGCATGTGTTTTAGGACTTCCTGTGTGAGTATTCTGACCTCGGTGTGTGTGCATCTGCGTATGCGGGGGACTAGGTATGGGTGTGGATTGTATCTGTGTTTATCCTTAGAGCACTGACCTCACTGCGGTCCAATCCCCAGCCCTGACAGCCACACTCAGGTGTCGGGTGTCTGTGGTTGTGGCGGTGGCTGACCTGGCAGCTTGTCCATGGCCTACCTTCCTTAACCACAACCACTGAAAGCTGCAGGCCGGGCCAAGCTCTGTGAGTGTGGCTCCCTACCTGTATGATCCACGGCTGCCTGGCAACCCCCACCTTTTCTCTTTAGGCAGGAGGGCTTTGCTACCTTGGTCAGGGCCTGCACCCATCTAAGACTGGACCAGCCTCCCTGCCCCTCCTCTGTCCAACTTTCTGTGTCGAGTGATTTCCTGAGCGAAGGTGCAAAATCCACTCCCACCCTTTTTAAAGGCCTGCAGGGGAGTTGGGCCAACCCCTGGAGGTAATATTATCACTCTGGCTCCTTTTCTCCAAACTTCCCCCTCAAAGGTCACCAGTGGCTTTAAGATTTCTCAACACAATGGCCCCCTTCTCCAGACTTTCTCTCTTTGACTGCTGACCACCCCATATGTTTTGGAACTTTTCTCCCCTAGGAGTCTGGGATACCATGCTTTCCTGTACCCATCCCGATGCATGACTGTTCCTCCTCTGGCCCCTTCCTGGTGCCTGTACCTTATCTTGGCCCCCCCACAGAGGTCCCCAGATACTCTTCCTGGCTTTTGCTTTGATTTCTCTGTGCAGTCCTCCTGACTGATTCCATCCATTTCGGAAGCTTCAACACTCATTCCTCACTCCCTATAAAAAGGTCCAGGGATTCCTGCCTTTAAGAGTCATTGTGAGAACTTTTAACAAAAGATGTTGCCTTGCCGAGGGTGAGGAAGGGTTTAGTGAGTAGGGTTTAGTTCTCCTCCCCAGGTCCCCACTTCCTCAAAATCATCACCTTTGGGAAAGCAGTACCATCTGCCTCTGTGGCCATCTATGGGAGTTCTTGATACAAATCACATCATTGTGCTGAGGCCTCTCTGGCCCCTCCTTTGAGCCAGCTACTTGCCCTTCATTTTTCCTTTCTCCATCTGATGCTCCCAAACCTCTCTCCCATGGTATCTGTTTAGAGGGGCAGACTGTCTCCCCAGAGGAGTCCAACATCCTCCCTGGCTCCCTGCTGCCCTCAGGACAAAGTATACACATAATCATGCATACACACACACACACACACACACACACACACACACACCCCATGGTGTGTCTTCTAAGGCCTGTGTACTATCTGTCTTGACCAGCACTTCTATATTTTTATTTACCTGCTACAGCTCACCTTCCTTCTTGGAGTCTCCCCAGCCTTAGTGTCTGGGTCCCCCATGCCCCCATGTCATTCTTAGCTTTGATTCCTGTTCTGACTGGAAAAGGAAGAAGTCAGATGAGCATATTCTGGCTCATACTCAGACTACATACTCTCTCTCTCTCTCTCTCTCTCTCTCTCTCTCTCTCTCTCTCTCCCTCTCAAGCACACAGGGAAGCCCTAGGCCTCAGGCTGACGATCAAACCCTGGAGACAGTTGGGGATCCAGGAAGAGCTCCTTTTCCTCAAGAGGAATCAGTTATGGGGAAGCCTAGGTTAGGATGGGTAGGAGGAAAACACACAATTGTCCACCTACCTTGGGGGTGCCTGGAGCCATGGCATCCTTCAGAAGGGAATTCTTGCTGCCAAGAAAGAAGAGAACAGGGTGACTATCCCACTTGCTGCCCAGGGCATGCAAGAGAATAGCAAGAAAACCCCAAAAAGAGAAGGCATAGCCAGCTTAGCCCAGCCCTGTTCAGCCAAGCTCTACCAAGGCCATTCAACCTCAGCTGGCCCTGACTAGCTCAGCCTCCATCAGGGGCCAGTGGCAACAGCTGGCTCCTGGGAGGGGGACAGAGACAGTAGGCATGGTAGGCTCCCCCATGAATCTGAGGAAAGGGGCTTTACCTGACTCCTGGTATCAGCCCTGAGGGTTCTGCTTGTCCTGGATGCCCCCTTCCCTCCACCTCCTGTCCCCAGCCTGCTCTTAGTTCCTATGGGATTGGGGGTGATGGAGCTGACATGGCTCTTGTCAATTCTCCCTCCAACACGCTGCAAACTGCGTTAGGCCAGGAATGATCTCCCCCTGATTCAATTTGTCAGCCCCAGGCCCTCCGGCATCGGGCGCGGCAGGCGGGCGGGAGCTGGGCCCTGAAATATGGTGGGCGGCTCGGAGCAGGCGGGGGCGGGGGTGGGAGGTGATGGATGGGCTGTGGGGGAGGCGAGGACTGTGTTTAATAACAAAATTGGTATGCAAGGCCACATCCTGCGCTAAGCATGAGTGATCCAGAGCCACAAAGTATTACAAATCCCTGCTAAACAGATGCTGACAATGGAACAAGACGTATCAAATCAGATCCACTTCAGAAACATTAATATCCCTGTTCCTGTCCCTCCCTCCCTGCTGCCCCCACTGTGCTCACCACATCTGTGCTCACACATTCACGCACGTGCACTCACACACACATACAAATACATGCACGCAGAGGCGCTGGCTGATATGTGCAGGAGGCAGACACAGCCCATTCACATAGGGTCCCTGCACAGACACCCATACAAGCTATTCAGGTAGAGCATGCCCACAGAGATGTCCATAAAGCACAAAAGACACATACCCAAGGCAGAGTGCATAGGACACGCACGGACTCAGGGCATATACACAGGAATCACCCATAGGGTCAGACATAGGTACCCCAATACGTGAGCAAAGACATAGATTCAGATAAAGTAGCAGCTGTCCCTCGGGGCACATTTGGCAATGTCTGGGGACCTTTCTGCTCATCACAGATGGAGGTAGGGAGTTTGCTACTGGCATCTGGTGGGTAGAGGATATTAATCAACATACAGTGTATGGGATAGCCCCTCACAACAAAGAATTATCTGGCCCAAAATGTCAATAGTGCTGAGGTTGAGAAACCCTGGTATAAAGGCAGATACACACATATCCACTGTCCATAATTCTGTCAACAGTCACTCAGACACATGTGGTCACACCCAGTGGCTCAAACATGTTGTAAATACAGACACATTCACAACAGTCACCCAGACTGTGAAGAGCTGCTCGGGCACCAACATCTACATAAACACATGCACAGGTACACCCACATGCACCAACACACACCCAGATACTTACACATCCACAAATGCAGACACATGTGGACACACACCCACATAGATACACACATCACAGATCTGAATGTAAACACAGAACTGTTTGCCTGGCTGATTACAGAGTGTGGGCATCACAGACTGGGAAGGACAACCAGACCAGGTTCCATTCAGTTACATTTGGTTCTTAAACAGTCCCTGTATTCCTGCTCCCTGTCAGGCCCTGATCTAGGCAATGGGGATACAGAGAGGAAACTGAGCTGCTCTTGAGGAGCAACTAGTTTGAGTTCATTACTTTTAGCATTCCTTCACTCAGTCAACAAGTACTGACGTCCCATTGTGCCCGGCACCGTGCCTGGACAGGTACAGAAATGAGGCATCTACTGTGCGACAGCGTTCTTGCTGGCCTGAGGTTTGAGCTTTATCTGAGCAGGATCAGGTTGGGACAGAAAAGGAAAGAGTGAACAATGATTGTGCATCAACCACATGTGACAGGTATGAGTCGGGTACTTTATATGTGTTCTCTCTTTAATCTTCACAAAAACTTTACAAAGTTGACCAATGGAGGTTGAATGACACCTCTACGTTCACACAGCCCATGTAGGGTTTGAGTTCATGTCTGACCGAGTCCAAAGTGCTGCCTTTCAGTTGCCCACACTGATTTCCTAAAGCTACTCAGGGGTTAGGATGGAGGACAGAGCTTGGAGTTCTTTTTCTCTCTCCACTTTGGGGAGCATCCTACTGACTCTGGGCTTTAGTTTCCTCGGCTGGTGAATAGAAAATGAGGACATCTAGGGTGAGAATGTCCAGGCTCTCCCTTTGCCAGTACTCTTACCTTTCCCTTAAGTCAGACTGGTACTACCTCAAGCTCCCGCCCTCTCTCTGAGCAAGTGTTCCCACCCTACCCCACCTTTCTTCCAACAACCTGATCACCACCAAGTGTGCTTGGTCCCCCAGAGATAGGAGTCTGGTGAAAAGCCTGCCTCCAAAAGGAGAGGTCTGAGCCTCAGAGCTACAGGCAGACTGGATCCTGCCCAGCCCATCGGCTCCTCTGCCTTCCGTCCCTCCCTGTTTCCACAGCCCACCCCCAACGATTTCCTCCCTTCTCAGTCACTCGCTGCCTAGTGATCCATGGGTTTTAAATTATAACTGGGACCCAGGAAACGCGTTCCTAAGTACAATATTCATGGGCTGGGCTGACACTTTTAATTAAGGTGATTTACACTGAATTATCCTTGGAAATAAAGAAATGGTGTGCTGCCCGGGAATAAACCATCATCACCAGCCGCCTTTGTAAGTTACACTTCGTTTTAATCTATTTGGGGAATTGTTTATCTAGTTCATTACCCAACCAAACACCGAGGCCGGCCTTAAATAAGGCTTAAGTGGGGGTGGGGGCACTGCCATCTCCATACCCCGCCTCTCTAGAGTCACCCAGCCTCCCCGTGGCTCCTTCCAGCCCTTTGAAAGCACTGACCACAGAGCTGGCTTCCTATCCTACAGGCCAGATCTAAAAGTGGCTTTGGAAGTCTCCCAGAAAAGGCTTCTGGGCTCAGGCCTCACCAAGCTAAGCCTCACAAGTCTGGGGGCTGCTCTCCACCACCCTCCAATCTTCAGCCCCCATCTATGTTGCTGCTTGTCTGTGCACATCCAGTTTCCACCCCATCACCATCCCAGAGACATCTTAGGCTTAGTGTGCCCAGAGCGCCATCCATTATTTCCTCCTTTCCTCAGAAATTTGCTTCCTCGCCATCATCACCCTTCCCATCACCCAGGTCAGAAAGCTCTTCCTAGTAAGTACCCTGCTCCCGTCTTGCTTCTTCCTCCACCAGTCTCTCATCATTCCCTCTTCTCCATTCCCACTGCCACTGTCCCAGGTCAGCCTCATCATCTGTCCCTTGGACCCTGCCCAACCTCCTCACCTGCCCCCCTTCAACCCCCAATTCATGCTCCGCACTGGCCTCCAGAGTGATTCTCCTACAGTTCTGCAATGTGATCAAGCTTCCTGAGACCCACCAATGTTCTAGCTCCCCCACCACAGCTAGGACAACCTTTCAGCCCTGAAAGCCCCCTCCAACCTGTCCTCAATCTAACTTTACCCTCCTTATTCGAACTAGCTTAGTCCTGGGGTCTACTGGTGCTCCAGTGCAGGACTGAGAAAGGGAAAGATAGAGGGCGGGGTGAGGGAGGGTATATGGCCATAGCCTCTGATCCCAAATGTAAAAGTACTTTGAAAAGTATAAACGCTTTGCCAACAGGAGTTCTGACTCTTCTTCCTGTAGGTGTCTGTGTGCCCATGTACCTGTGGGAATGAGCATGTGTTGGAAGTGGTTCTTTCAGGGTGTGTGTGTGTGGTGAGCACATCTATGTGTGTTGGAATGTGGGGGTGTGCGTGTGCCTGTATGTTATGTATGCATGTTTGCCTGTGTCTCTGAAAAGCAGCCAGCCCTAGTTTGGGAGCTGGGAGTCCCCCCCCCCCCCCCCC